CCAGCGACCTAAGGGCCCGTCCCCCCCGGTGGCCAGTGATCTTAGGGCCCATCCCCCCCCAGGCGGCCAGGGATTTAGGGGCCATCCCCCCAGGCGGCCAGCGACCTTAAGGCCTGTCCTCCCAGGCGGCCAATGTTCTAACATCCCCCCCCAGGCAGCCTGGGATTTAGGGGCCATCCCCCCAGGCGGCCAGCGACCTTAAGGCCTGTCCTCCCAGGCGGCCAATGTTCTAAGAGCTTCCCCCCCAGCCACCAGTGCTTGGAGGACCTGTCTCCTTCATGCACCAGCACCCTGGGCACCCGGCACCGGAGCTCAGCACTGACTGTCCAAACTAGCTTGGTCGGAGACCTTGGCCCAGCACCCCACCCTGGCCCTCTCCACCACTGGCAGGGGCCATGCTGTGTCCTGCAGCGGGAGCTCACCTTCGCGGGTATCGCCTGGGCCGGGGATGGCCCCGTGGCCGTACGGGCACAGCTCCTGGAAGGCAACTGGAGCAGGAGGAAAATGAGAGGTGCTGGCCGCAGCTCCCGTTAGCTGGAGAAGAGGTGCGGGGGAGAGCCGGCTGGAAAGGGACAGCACCCCCCTTCTGCTGGGTTTGTTGGTGCCTGGACGCATGCAGGAGAGTGAACTGCTCCCCTCTGGAACCGGAGCCACACGGGGCTGCAGCGACGGGTCAAAGCCTGTCGCGGAGCCCAGCACCCGGCTCCTGCTGCTGCGGGGCACCTGGCAGAGAACGCGTCCGCTCTGCTGGGACCCAAGAACGCTGCGATGCCCTGCGGGGCTCAGCCTTCCCGGGCCGATCTGTCATGTGCCCCCCGAGGGCCGCTGCCCGGGACAAGGCCTTGTGTGCAAAAGCAGACCCAGGAATACCCGGCTACGGAGAGCGCTGACTTCCTCTGTGCGCCCTGCGCTGCCAACCAATCGCTGGGCCAGAGCCCCTGCACGGGCCTGTGCACGCGCCCTTGTGCGACTCTTCAGTTTGCACTGGTGTCGCTCGGGCCTCGCACGTCGCCCGGTACAACCAGGCCAACCCCGGGGGCGCTGCACCCCAGAAGAGCTCTGTGCATGAGAACCGCTGCTCTGGGGCCCTGCCATGGGCTGCACGGTGGCTCCCCACTTCCTGAGGGCCCAAAGGGCTGGGGCACCTACCGTTCCCCTCCTGGGGGCACAGCTCGCAGGGGTCCCCCCAGCCCTCTCCAGGCATCTTGCTGCAGCAGCACCGGGCCTTGGTGGTGTTGAAGGCCTTGGGGACGGAGCACTTGCCGTTGTCGAAGCGGGTAAAGCAGAAGCTCTGTCGGGTGTCTGCAGCAGGAGGAGAGAATTACAGGCGTCCAGGGCGGGTGTGAGACCTCCCGGTGACAGGTGGCACACGTGTAAGTGACGATGGCTGACAACAGCGGGAGCAGACCCGGGCCCTGACCCCGCACAGCAGCAGCCCCTGCGAGACAAGCAACGCCGGCCTGGGGATGGGGAGCAGCTCCCAGCAGAGATGTGCCCCCGAGGAGTCAGAGCCGGGCAAATGCCCCATCGGGCGTGCTCTGGGGGCAGGGCTCTCTCCCACCGCCAGCCGATGGCAGCGGGGGCCCTGGGCTTCCCACCTCAGCTCCTCCCCCGGCACTCACCGAAGCACCTGCGGCCGTTGTCCGACAGAACGAAGCCCGGGGGGCAGATGCACTGGAAGCTGCCGGGGGTGTTGGTGCAGGTGCCGAAGAGGCAGATGTTGGGCTCCTCCTCACACTCGTTGATATCTGGGAGCAGGGCAGAGGGGCTAGACACGGACCAGGCAGGGATCTCGGCAAGGAGGAAGGGCCGGGGCCCTGCTGAGCCAAGGGGTCACCCCGCAGGAGGGCAGGCCTGTCTCTGGGGGCTTCCACTGGGAGCATGCTGGTCTGGTCACATCCACCTCCCACGCCTCAGTTTGAGTCAGGCCCCACAGCCCATCTCCCCTGCTGCACCCACTGCCCCAGGGGCCCAGTGCTGGGAACAGAGCAGTGAGGAAAGCCAGAGCTGCCCTAGGTGCCTATGCATGCGACAGCTCTCAGCCTCCTCCAAAGCCAAGGTCCCTGCAGCTTGTATTGACAGGGAATCCCCACTAGCTGTTTTAAGTTAAAGTTGCAGAAGCTGTCAGAAGCCTGTATCCCAAGAAAGAGGAAAAATGTATAGACAGGTGTGTTAGACCAAGCTGCATGAGCAAGAATCTCAGGGAGGTGATTAAGAAAAAGCAGAAAGCATATAAGGGGTGGAAGATGGGAGGGATCAGCAAAGAAAGCTCCCTTCTTGAGGTTAGAGCATGTAGGGACACAGTGAGAGAGGCTAAAAGTCAGGTAGAGTTGGACCTTGCAAAGGGAATTCAAACCAATAGTAAAAGGTTTTATAGCCATATAAATAGGAAGAAAACAAAAAAAGAGGAAGTGGGACCGCTAATCACTGAGGATGGAGTGGAGGTTAAGGATAATCTAGGCATGGCCCAATATCTAAACAAATACTTTGCTTTCAGTCTTTAATAAGGCTAAGGAAGAGCTTAGGGATAATGGTAACATAACAAATGGGACTAAAGATATGGAGGTAGATATTACCAAATTCGAGGTAGAAGCCAAACTCGAACATCTTAATGGGAGTAAATCAGGGGGCCCAGATAATCTTTATCCAAGAATAGTAAAGGAACTGGCACATGAAATTGCAAATCCATTAGCAAAATTTTTTAATGAATGAAAAAATGGTTGTACCATTTGACTGGAGAATTGCTAATATAGTTCCTATTTTTAAGAAAGGGAAAAAAAGTGACCCGGTTAACTACCAGCCTGTTAGTTTGACATCTGTAGTATGCAAGGTCTTGGACAAAATTTTGAAGGAGAAAGTAGTTAGGGACAGTGAGGTTAATGGTAATTGGGACAAATTACAACATGGTTTTACAAACGGTCGATTGTGCCAAACCAACCCAATCTCCTTCTTTGAGAAAGTAACAGATTTTTTAGATAAAGGAAATGCAGTGGATCTAATCTACCTCGA